TTTACTTTTTTTTTTCCAATTCTCCTCCCCATGCCACTGGGAGGGTGGGAGGGGCGAGCGAGCGGCTGCGTGGTGTTTGGTTGCCGGCCGGGGTTAAACCATGACACCGCTCCATGGCCTTCATAGTTCCAAGAGTGATCCCCACGCTGATGCTTGGGAGCTATATGAAGCAACAAGAGATCTGCCTTTCCCCAAAAGAGGTTCTGACTCACTCAATAACTGGTCCCAGATATTAATTCCATTCTTTTATCCTTAATTTGCTTTTAGTAAACTATTTATTATCCTCTATTTATAGGAAATAAATACTGAAAAGATCTCTCTTCCAGTGTTTGATGAGACCAAAATGCTTGGAGTTATTAGGCCTGGTGGGCAGTTCTGTTCACCTTGTTTTGTTCAGGTCATCCCAAATTTAAAGCAGAATAAAAGTTAACAGCAGAATAAAAGATAACTATTTTTGAAGTGCAGCGCTTTTTCCTCCCGTGGAGTGGGTTACCACCCAAGGTATTATGATATTGCTTGCAGCAGAGGGTCTAATCTTGTGCTTTCTGAGCCTTCCTTGGACCATATTTCTTCGTTTCCTTTCAAAGATGGACAGGACAGCATTTCACCTGGCTGCAGAGCATGGGCGGCTGGAGGTGACGGAGTTCCTGATTCAACTGGGGTGTTCTCACAGTGCCAAAGACAAGGTACGGGCGTAAACCCACACGCGAGGGAGGTAAAGTCCAAGGACTGGAGGATGTGAAAGTCAGAGAACAGGAGACCAGTTGAGGCTCGTGCAGGCAAGTTGTCAGCACTCGTCACTACGGTTATGCTGGGTCAGGGCTTTTCATCCCTATCCACAAGGCGTTTGTGCCTCAGTGCCTGTTGGATTTCTCGACAGGGTTTGCAGTGAGCCTGGTGGACCATGCTCTGGTTTAAGGCAGTTGGGTATCCTCCCGCCCTGCTACACCTATTATAAGACTGTTTCAGACTCATGCTGCTGGTGACAACCTCCTTTTCAGTCACGCTGTGTATACTGTGCAAGGCTGTGCTGTACGAACACTCAGTCCTGGGATACATGGATGGATGGAGTGATGTTTACTTTCAGGAAGAAAATACAGCATTGCATTTAGCTGCTAAAAATGGACACCTCTCTGTGCTGCAGAAGATCATAGATGTTGGAGTGGAGCTTGATGAAAAGAACTTAGTAAGTACTTTTAAATGAAACAAAAACCACATCAGTTTTGCCCTTTCCCTCCCTAGAAATACTCTCGTGCCAGTCATCAGGCTGAATATGGACAGGAGAGGTGTAGAAGATAGCTGATATTATCTAAAGCATACGTGTGTAAACTCAGGTCACGCTTGCAGAGTATCAGTGAAAGGCAACATCCTTCTTGGACCAATATCCAGTTCTAAAGTGTTGCCTTTTCTTCCTGCTGTACCTGCTGACCGACCTTATCACTCCATTTAATCTCTGTTTTTCTCCCTGACCCTTGTACATTCAAGTGCCTAAATGGTTATTGAGTGTATTTTAAACTGAACTTCACTATGCTTTATAGTATTGACTTAGTGACCGAACATACGGACCTTCTGTTTGAGATCTCTCTTTGACAGACCTTCTTTGGAAAATGATGTGGCTGGAACACAGTTAATGATTTAGATAGCAAATATTGGCTCAGTAACACTGTTATTTATTCCAGGGCACACTCCCAGTTAAGTTCATCAGCAATTTATTTTAGTCTTATTTCGTTACTGTCTTTGAAAACTGTATTTGATTGTGATTAAGATCTGGAAGAAAGGGGAAAAGACCTTCTGTGGTAACTGGTAGCATTCGTCTTCCCCAAGATGAGCAGCTCTTTGTGTGAAGAGCAATAATAAAACCAGATTAAATCACTTAGGAATTCGGCTTGTTCCTGGTTTTTTGGTAAAGAAATGAGCTGCAGCCCTCAGAAGGGAGAACCAGTGGTTGAGGGCCACAGGTTTCCAGTTCTGCCTATGGCTGTCTCTGGGCTAGTCCAGGAAAATGGTTTGTCTGCATTGTCCACGTGAAATCCTTTTTTTGTTTGCTGATGGGCTGAAGGGAAGAACACACCGTGAACACGATGTCTGCCCTGTGGCCCATGGGCCAGCTGTTCCCAGCAGCATAAGGACAGAGCAGTACTCCGGTACGTCCGTGGCAGATCGTTGTGTCCTTTATTTTCCTGACAATCGACTGGAGATCCCTGGCCCTCAGAACTGCTATTTTGACATGTCATGGGTTCAGAAGATGGGGTGGAGGCTTGCTCATTCCGCTGCTCTGTCTTGGCCTTGTCTCCAGAAATGCTGCTTGTCTCCTTGTTTGCCTTGCCCAGGAAGGACTTACGGCTCTGCACGTGGCTGCTGAGGGGGGTCACAGTGACTGCGTGAAGCTGCTCTTGGAAGCAGGTGCCGATGTCAACGCCCAAACCCAGGTGAGCTCTGTGGAGGTGATTCCATTGCCAGACAACGCTTTGTGGATTTTTTGCCCAGACCTGTGGCGTCCCAGGGAGGGCACCCATGATGGGGTGAGGCTGCATGGAGCCCAGAAGTAGCGCAGGGAGTCCAGAGGAAAGTGTGTACTTTCTGGAGCTGCACTGGGACCAGTTTGGCTGTGGAGACAATCTGTAGGAGTTTGTCAGTATGGGGGCATGGGGCTCTTGCAGGAGGGAAGTGGGGAGGTGTCTGTGGACAGTCTGTAAGAACTGCAGCTTCTGAGAAGAAGCCCTGACTGATAGCCACCTCTTCCCACGTGCCTCTCAGAAGAAGATGAATTGCCTTCATTACGCAGCGCTGCATGGCTACGAGGAGATAGCCAGGATCCTCATGGATGCAGGAATCCACACAGACGCTGTTAATCATGTAAGTCCCTCTCAAAGCTCTCGTCATTTAGAAAAAGGCAAAGCCAGTTGGTGGAGTTGTTCTAGAGCACAAAGCAACTCAGCAAGGACCAGTGCTGCTGTGGGGTCTGTGCTTATGGGGCAGTATCCCCAGTCCACCCCCAGTCCAGGCTGGCAGCTGCCTTAGAATAAGACACGCTGGGCACAGTGTGGTCCTTTTGGTGCCACGAGCTAAACTTTTCCTAAGTGCAGGGTCTTCTTTCCGCAGCAAAACGCGTCAGCGACACACATTGCGGTACTGCAGAACTTCCCAGCCATGGTGAGGCTCTTCATCGACGCGGAGTGTGACCTTGACATTCCAGACAATGTAAGACTGCAACTCCTGTTCTTTGGCTTTGAAATGTGAACCAGTTTTATGGGGGATTTGATCACCTGGGGACAGGATTAAAGAGGAGTGATTTAAAATGGGGAAACCCTGGAAGCGCAGCTTAGGAGATATGAAACCTGTGAAATGATTCTGAGCGTTGCAGTGAGGTAATCGCTTGATGGGCTGCGCCGTGACCCTGGGACTTGTGCCCAGTGACATTGCATAGTCAGGCTCTCTCCTCCCTGCTGGAAGCAAGTGGGAGAAATTTCAGGCTGGAAAGATACTGTGCAGAATGTTTGGGGGGGGCTGAGAACGGGAGGCAAGCCTGGAGGTAGCTGGTTGTCTCACCGAGTTGTAATTTTGTGAATGAGGGGCTTTGTGTAGCTTGTTTGTAGTGTTTCGGTTAGTGTTCATTCTTGTAGCCATGTTCTCCTGATGACACCATAAATTTGCCACATTTTGTGTTTGATTTTAGTTGTTTCCATTAAACAGCCCCAAGGTGCATACAGTTTACAGTGCATACACACCAACCTGGCCTTGTGTCCCAGGAACAATTGGCACAGGTCCTTTCCTCCCTTGGCCAAACAATCTGCCTACAGAAACTGTTTAAAGAACAGGAAATAATATAGTCCTATAAGTGACCCGAGGGAGCTTTATGGAACTGAAGAGGTTCCTTCTTTAGACTGAAATGTTCTCGGGGAGGCTTCCTGGTGCTGGGACAGGGACAGCCCAGTTCTGCTGAGCCTGAGGAACCCAACTCCAGTTTGAGGTAGGAGAGTGTTTGGCCTTCAGTTTAAAAAAAGGGATAGAGGGGAAAGGAGGGCAGAGCTGGTGGCGTTCTTGCAGCGCTTCCTCCTGGTGTTGTGCTGTCCTATCCTTCCAGCCTCACAGTTGTCCCTCTCTGAAATTTAGTCCCTTCACTCTCCTTCTGCAGAGGCAGCAGACCTCACTCCACATCGCTGCGGAGCATGGCAGGCAGGACATCGCTGAAATGATTCTCGTTGCAGGAGTTAATCTGAAGCTAACAGACAAGGTGAATGTCTCCATGGGTTGATGAGAATCTACGGGGGTACAGAGGAAAAATACGGATGGTCTTTGCCACTGCTTTTCATAATTTTCAAGGAAGGCTAGTAATAATATTAAAATCTGGATATTTCCAGGGATAAGGCCTTGAAACTCTGCTGAGTAGGTTATTTTGATGTGTTTTCCAGGAAAGAAGCGACTGGTTCGTAGGAAGGTAGAAAACAGTTCACCCAATGAGCAAACTTTTTTCTTTTCAAAGTTGTTCTAGTTCCTTCCTCTTCTACTTGTGCTATCATGCACATTATTATTAAAGATCTTCTCGAATAATGATAAATAATATACCTCAAGAATTACAACACATGTGTTATAATAGGTCAAAAGTATGTGGTTGGTATAGATCTGGCACCAGTGTCCAGGGCTTTTTCCCTTTAATTAAATCAACAATTCTAGAGGAATCAGGCAAGTTGTATGCAGCCTGAAAGCGTGGTGTGTGCCCACAGAAAATGCTGAAGGGGGCTTGGGGAGAGGTTAAAACAGTGTCTGCCATTGGCAGTGCCTTAAAGCCCATCTAGACTCCAAGTCACCTGGCTGAAACCGCCTTCAGCTCCAGTGAGTGTTTGCCACCTTCCTGTGGCGGCCTGTGGAACCGCAGCGAGGCGCAGCGCAGGGAACAGATTCAGGCTTCTCTGTGAAATTGGGGCTCTGCTCCCATCTGAGGCTGGAAGCATTCTCATGGCGTGCCTGGTGGCTGGGCTGGCTCGCTTTTCCTTCATGCAGCTTTCAAATCTTGCTCCTCTGCTCTGTGCTTTTAGGTATAAATACAAACATTCCCCCCCCGCCCAATCCCAAATCATATTCACATAAGGAGCGTAGTTCCATTTTCATAGTCCCATCAGCCTGTGCTTCTCCTAGGACATGCATATGTGGAGCCTGTAAAATTAATGAGGTTGTATAAATCACTTCAGTTTCATGTGTCAGCAAACCCGCTGCGCAAAAGGCTGTAAAATGCCTTGGATTGTCGTGCTGAGCTGGTCCTTTGACGGCCGCAGCCGCGTTGCTGGGAGCCTGACAGCACCCTGCCACCGCTGTGGCTTACGGGCTGCTTTCCCAGCCGCTTTTGCCACACGGGCAAGTGCCTCGTGGCAACAGAGAGGCTGCAGAGCCTGGAAAAGGACTCCCTGTGCCCTGTGCAGTAGCACGAAACTAGCTCACCTCGAGGTGGTTGCAGGTGGAGAATAGGGGTCCTTCATCCCGGCTGGGTGGATTGCTGAAGAGGCCATGCTGCCTGCTACTGCTGACTCCTGGGTGGGCGTGGAGGTTGTACCTCCTAAGTGTGCAAGGGCTTTTCCAGCGCATTTTTCACCTTCTGGTTTCAGCAAGGGAAAACATCTCTGGATGTCGCCGCCCGAGGCAATCACATCAATCTGGCGGATATGATTATCAAGGCTGATCGGTTTTACAAATGGGAAAAGGTGAGCAGCTCACACCACCTTCCCCAAGCCCTTTCCACGGCAGAGGTAGCCTTATCCTCTCCTTTGAGACTCCACGTTACCAGCTGTCAAAAGGAAAAGAAATACAGGACATCCTGTGACAGCCTGACCTCTATTTTCATCACCTTACTTAAGAAAAACAAAAGCCCTCACCATGCCAACAATGCCTACTTAAGGCTTTCCTTACTTAAAAAAGCTTCTTGTTAAAAACCCCAGGCTGTGCTGAAGGGAGCAGGGGTTTAAAGAGATTCTTTGGCAGCTGTTCCCAAAGCCCTGTGGAAGGGAGAGTGTTAGTTCCTTTTCCCAGGAGGAGAAACTGAAGCGTTGAGCAGGAAAATGCTTGGCCTAAGGTCGCCAAATGGGATGTGGGGAGTTTTTCAACAGCGGAAGGGAGACAAGAGCAGAGCGATCAGTTCTTGTTGGAGTCCTACAACCAACTTCCCTCTCAGACTTCCCCACAGTGAGGGCTGTTCCTCCTCTGTTTCCCAGTGTGGCCCAGCAGTCTGTCTCCTCCCACCTCCCTGCGTGCAAGGCGCCGCTGCTCAGCACCAGCCCCCCATCTGAAACCCTGCTGACCCCAGGCCTGTGCCCAACCCCGCCCGAGCAGAGGGCGTGCTGAAAGCACAGCCAACCACCACATCCCTTGCGTCTTCGTAAGGCTTTGGGCATCCTCCCATGCCAGGAAAGACAGCGCTTTAGCAGGGAAAGGAGAGGAGGGCAAGGAGGGCATACGCCTGTGGCTCAGGCGCAGCTTCAGGCGCGATGCTGTGTCCCTGGCAGCGCTCAAGGCCAGGCTGGATGGGGCTTTGAGCAACCTGGTCTGGTGGAAAGGTGTCCCTGCCCGTGGCGGTGGAACTAGATGATCTTTAAGATCCCTTTTCCAACAGAAACCGTCCTGATTCTGTATCAGGCCCTTGCACGGGCGTCCCATAGAAGTCATTCAGCCCCGTTGCAGTCTGGCCTGAAGAGGAGGCGAGCACGCGCCGATGTTGCAGGGGAGGAAGGAGATTTAATTAAGTGATTCTGAGTACAAGCCCCAGGTAAAAGGCACTGTGGAAATGCAAATTGGGATCCACGTGGGCTTCCACGGCAAAGCTGCTATTAACAGGGTCTGTTAACAGGCGGGATTAGAACAGAGTGAAACGAGAGAATAAAGAGAATTAAAAAAAAACCTGCGCTGTGCCAGAAGGAGCTCTCAGTGACCTGTGGGAGGCTGCAGAACGACGGGTACCTCTGCAGCGTCCCAGCTGAAACCCCTGTTCTGGCTTCGCAGGACAATCTGAACAGCGACTCCGACTCCTGGGTGGCAAAGCACTTGACCTTCAAGCAAGATCACAGGGTGGAAACCCAGCACATTCGCTCAGTAATGTGGCGATTAGCGACCAAGTACCTCAAACCTGGGGAATGGAAGAAGCTGGCACATTACTGGAAATTCACTGATGCCCACATTAGGGCCATTGAGCAACAATGGACAGGTATAAACCGCTGCCCAGCTATTTTCCTTCCTTCTCTTGGACTGTGTTTCTAGGAGGTAAGTCTGCAGTAAGAGCAGAGCGTGAAGAAGATGAGCTGGCTTATTTGAAACAACCAAAAGATGAGGTTAAAAATCCTATTTTTAATAAATGTGGAGTTATGTACACACTGAAATTTGTCTACGAGTGAAGCACACAAGCCTGGGGGTTAGTGGTTCATTGCTCACTCCTCCTGAGGCAGTTGCCAGACCTGTGAGTTCTTGCTACAATTCTTGTTCTGTAGGACGGAAGAAACTTGCTGGCTTTATTTTTTTTCTTTTAAGGAGCTGAACCTAGAAGGCAGTGAAGCCCCATTTAGGATTTAAGAGCTACGTTAGCAGAAGCAGGTTCTGAGTTTCAGCCGCAGATCACCCCGGGCTCGGTTCCTGCAAGGACTCCCGTGGTTTGCGAGGCGCGAGCAAGGGGCCAAGCTGTGCGCTGAAGGCCCAAATTCTGTATTGCCACGAGAGGTGGCAGCTCATCCCCGCCACTCCATTGCTTCCCCTGAATCTAGCAATCGCACCACAACCAGGAACTAAGCTAACCTGTACTTTAGAGCCCCCTAGTAAAATCCAAAGATTTGGGGGTGTCCAGCCCGCCCTCCCCAGCTCAGAAACGGGCTCTGTCGGGGCCGTGTGCTGCGAAGTGCAGGATTTCAGTTGTGGTTTGATTTTGCCAGGCACTAAAAGCTACCGGGAGCACGGCCACAGGATGTTGCTTATCTGGCTCCACGGCGTGCTCACGGCAGGAGAAAACCCGATCAAGGGATTGTACGAAGGCCTTGTGGGAATTGGAAGAAGAGATTTAGCAGGTAACGCTTGTCTTCCGTCACGTAACGCACGCTGAGCACCACCCGAATGCCGTGGTCACACAACATACACGGGGGAAAACTTCAATGAAGCCAATTCACAAAAGCTGGAAGCCACCCTGCCCCACCCCCTTGCTACCATTCCACATCGCTTCTTTCCCTTTTTATTTTTTTTTTGGGATAGATTAACACATCCTGCCGCAGCTTTATGCTTTCTGCGTAGCAGAACATTCTCTTCTTTTACAGAAAGCATTCGGAAAAAAGCCAACGCAGACTCTGCCTCTCCGCGGAAGTGCGTAGCGATGTAACACCGGGAGGGGACCTGTGGTTCCTTCAGCTGGGGGGGCCTCGGCTTGGCTTGGAGGGGCCGGAGAAACCCTTGCAGGAGGCAGCCGCACCTTGAGGGCTTCTTGTCATAAACTGCTGGCACCGCTGCTGCTTCCTTCTTGGTCTGAAGCATCCAGGCAACTGCTACCGGTCTGAAACGCCTCTTGACGCGGCGGGGAGGTTTTCATCAGCTATTGCGAATGATCTGGGACTGTTGCAAGAGGTCAGCAGGAGAGCCTCGCCTGTCGTGCTGTGAGTACCAGGAAATAAGACACTGTTTTACTGGAACTTGTTTACATCACATTTTTGTATGTAAGTTTTTAATTGTCAGGTTTTTAAGTTATAGAGGGGAAAGGCTTTGTTTTCAGAAATGTTC